CTCAGGAAGTCCCCAATGAAAGGAGACACCAGAAGGAGGACCCACGTAGAAAGGCATGACAGGGTTCTAATTGGTTCCCTGAAAGCAGCAATTGCAATTTTCTCCATCTGGTACCTGAGTCCATCTCACTTTGAGTCACCTGACCTCCCCTCCAGCCTGGACACAGGGACCAGGCTACAGTAATGTGGGCCCTCTTCCCAGAATAGAGAACGTGCAGATATCTCAAAGGGTACAAAGAGATCCACAGCTTTCTGTACACAAGCCAGGCCAGCTGGCCTCAGGGCTGCTGCATTCTGCTCTCCCGTTTCTCTTCCCCATGGACAGACAGTTCTTGCACAATCCTCAAGGCCACCCCAACTGTACAGAACCAGAGCTGGTGAGAACTCACTGAGAAAGCACATCGCTTGATGGGGAATGGGAAGAACAGATTCCAGGAAGTAATAACTTTTTACTAATGCCTCCAACTCTGAAATCTCTAAAAAAGCAGGTTTTGTTGGTATCCACAAGAGGACACTGGGTGCTTCATGACTAACTGTGAGGTGAGATCCAGGCTGGACTCCTTAACATGTAGGTGATACACATGTACCTCACAGCCTAGTATTTCTGCTATTTCTGCCATACCAGTACCAGGATGGAGAACATCTTAGCATGTCCTTCTGAGCCTGAAACTGCACCTCATACAAAGGAGAATGCCAGTATTTATAAATGGAACAAAAGGCTATATCCTCATTCACAGACAGAACACATGAGATCTGAAAGAGGAGAAGGATGAGAGAAGAAACAAGATAAACACCATCGAACAATTCAAGATGAATTCCTCCTACAGGGACCCCAGAACCTCCCACAGCCCTGGGGTCTCTGTGCCTCCCAAACAAGGATCTGACCGAGCAAAGCATTCATCAGATAACGTATGAACGTGGTCCAAATCCTGGTGTTTCACATCAATCCACCTTGCCTCACCCTCCTAATGCCAGCTGCACACACGCCTGACATCTCCTCCTCACAAAGTCCTGGACAGGAAACCCAGGAATTCCAAGGCCTGGAATTTTCCTTTTGATCTAAAACCAGAACAGCTGCTGACAACTGTCCATAGAAGCCAGAGGTCTGCAGGGTGCCTACCACAGCCTCCACGGGTGTTGAGACTATGAACAACTAACATAACCTCTACAGCCTCAGGGTCCTTGTCTGTTCAATGGGAGTCATAATTCTGTTCACCCTATAGAAATGTTGTAATGATAAACTTGTCCCTAGAGATGTAAGTTCCTTACACAGAGCCTGGCAGAAAGCCAGTGCTCAATGAAATGCTAGTGAATTTTCACTCATCTCCAGGAAAGCATCATGGAAAGGGGGAGAGGAAGAAGTGCCTTCAAAAGGAGGGAGGAGCAAGGGCATCACCTCAAAGCGGGACAGGAAGTCCTTCAGGTTGGGAACGCATCCAGGCATTTGGGATCAAACATATGTTGCAGGTCAAGGATGAGTGGGCTGGAAGTTCTGAACCTGGGATGAATGCCACCTTGTCATCTCCATCTCCCTCCCCCTTACCTTGTCCCCTGCAAACCATGGCCTCTTCCCCAGACTGTGAGTAGAGCTTCATCTTCTCAGGGAGGTCCTGCAGGTACTCTAGCTTCTGTTTTTCCTGAGGCAGAAGATAACAGTCACCATCCTCAGACACAAGAGGCTGGTCTCACCAGAGCTGGACAGGACCCAGATGGCCAGTGATGAACAGCCATCTTCCAGAGACTGGGCCTGGGTCAGGCTACAGGTTTGCATTTCATACACTGCTGCTTTAGTATTTAGAATCCTGTTTGATAGCTGACCCTGCTGTCAGAGGTGTACAGAAGATGAACACAACTAAGAACACTGTGCTCCCTTGCTTAACTCCTGCCATCCTTCCTTTTTTTATGGTGTCCTAATAAAATTTTGCTTTTCTTACTCTTCTGTCTCAGTAAATTCTTTTAATAACCAGTGGCTCTGAAATCCATCACAGTGGGGACTGAAAAAGAGTAACCAGCTAAGTCAGTTTGGTGTTATGAGGGCCACTGGTGACCACATAGGGAACAACCTGGACAGTAAGTAGCTCTAATGAGTCCACAGAGTTGGGAATTCAAGAGATCTGACTCATGAGCCAAGCCCTACCTGGTTCACACCAGCAGGGGGCACAAGATGATTCAGAAAGTCTGAGCCACAGCAGACTCTGGCCAGCTGAGTCCCAGAATAACTCCACGGGGCAGGGCAAAGCCTTGGACTCTTCCCAGGGACCTGCAGCATGAAAGAAGAATGATTGTTTTCCAGAAGCTGCTACCTTGGGGTCTCTTTCAGCCGCATCCTTCTCCACAAATACAATGTGATGGGGGATTTTTAGGGACGGAGTGTAAGGAACAACAGGTGATCCCAGACCAACCTGGCAGACTCTAATGCACATGGCCATTTTCAGCAAACGTGACCCCTTTTCCCATTCTAGAAAGACAAGAGACACACTGAAGCAAGAATGGGCACTGAGTTCTACACAAGTCAAATCCTCAGTTTGGTGGCCTGGGTTTGAAGGACATACCTTATACTACTTCTACCTGAGGATTTAAAGAGTTGTGTTTTTATCTCTTCTAATTTTGACCACAACGTTAAGAAATTTGCTTTTCATTGCAATTGTCTGCATCTCATGCCTTCCCCCTTATTTAAGGATAGATTTATTTAGATTTCTTTTCTTTGATACTCACATTTATATTTTCAATTTTTTTTTTTTTTTTTTTTTGGTGGGACTGGGGTTTCAACTCAGGGTTTCACACTTGCAAAGTAGGCACTCCACCACTGAGCCACACCTCCAGTCCATTTTGCTCTGGTTATTTTGGGGTCTTACAAACTATTTCCCCAGGCATCTCAGCCTCCCAGGTAGCTGGGATTACAGGTGTGAGCCACCGGCGCCCAGCTCTAATACAGTGTTTTATCTTTATGGTCTGGTGGACTGGCTCAAGGGGTAAAGTGACTGCCTAGCAAGTGTGAGGCCCTGAGTTCAAACCCCAGTACTGTCAAAAAAAGGAAAAGAACAGCTTTAATATGCCTTTCTCTTTTATTTTGAGCCAATGGCTCATGGATCAGAAAAGCATGGCTCTTTGCTTTGTTTTGTTAATTATGTTTATTGTGGCAAACAAGTCATAATGTACAACTTACCATCTCACACATTTTAACAATGCAGTCTTATTATGTGATTTACAATGTTTGCGGCCATCACCACCATCCATCTCTGTAACACTTTTCATTTTGTAAAACGGGAGGTTTCACCCATTAAACTACAACTCCTCATTCCCCTCCCTCTTCTGTCCCTGGAAACTACCATTCTTCTTTCTGTCTCTATGACTCTGATGGTGCTATGATCCTCATAGCAACAGTTTCATACATTTTATGAATTTTTGTCACAGACTTCTTTCAAAATGCTCTCAAGTTTCATCCAAGTTTTATCCTGTGTCAGAATTTGCTTCTTTTTGAGTCTGAGTAACATTTCTTTTAATATATAAACCATATTTTGTTGATTCATTCATCTGTTGATGGATACCTGGCTTGCATCTACCTTTCTCTCTTGTAAATATTGCTACTATGAACATGGGTGTATAAATATAAAGTTGAGGGTTGGTGGAGTTGCTCAAGTGGTAGAGCAACTGCCTAACAGGTGCAAGGCCCAGAATTCAAGTCACAGTACCAAAATAAATAAATCAACAAATAAAACATTGAACTGGGCACAGTGGTTCACACTGTAATCCTAGCTACTCAGGAGACAGAGATCAGGAGGATCTCCATTCAAAGCCAGCCTAGGCAAATAGTTCTGAGACCCTAACTCAAAAAAACCCATCACAAAAAAGGGCTGGTGGAGTGGCTTCATTTGTAGTCTCTGGTTCAAACCCAAGTACTGCAAAAATAGATTGTTGAGATCTTGCAGGTTTTGGAGTATATACTGAGAAATGGAGTTGGAGCATCAGATTGTATTGAAGTGTACATGCATTGCATTTTTCATTTTTTAAACTGTCTGACAGTTCATTCCACACTCTTCATACCAACATGGCAAAATGGTTCCAATCTCCCACAACCTCACCAACACTTGTTACAGGCTAATGGAAGTGAGGTTGAATCTTCTTGCAGTTTCAATCTGCATTCCTCTCATGAATACTGACACTGAGCAACTTTTCCTGTGCTATTATTCACTTGCATATCTTTTCTGGTAACATGTCTATTCATGTGAATTGCCATATTTGAACTGGTTGATTTTTCTGGTTGTTGCAGTCGTCCGTGTTTGTAAGTAAAGTTCAGTGGGGATGCAGACCTACTCATTATTTATGGTTTATAGCTTCTACACACTGACAACAGACTTGAAGAAAAATCATGAAGAACATGTGGCCCCTAAGTCTAAAATTTGGCCGATGAGGGAAAATGTTTGCTGACCCTTGTTCTAGACCCATTAATATTTTTCCTGCCTCAATTTCTATCACAGGGTAACTCCCAACTCTAATATTTTTTCTTTTCAATAAACCAATGATGACATTGTTTGAAAACACACAGTGCCACTTGCAAACAGAGGGAAAAGTTTATAGAGAAATGTCCTGAGAACACAGAGGATGGATACCAAGATCAGGGAAGGCTTCTGGAAGAGGGGCAGAAGGAGGTTGGCCTGTGGATGGTTTGGGGCCTTCCCATCAGTTCAGCACCTCTCTACATATGGCTGATGGGGCCCTCTGTGCTGCAGAACTAATGAGAGCCTGGCAAAGAAGGAAGGAACACCTTCTGTACGGATTTCAAGGTATGGAAATAGGGATATGGATAGGGACAGCAATGACTCACACACCTTGCAACTCTTGCTGGCCACCAAGAGCTCCCCCCACCAAATCCCCCTCACCCAGGCCCCGTTCTCGACAACAGAATAAAGAGATCCCAACCGCATCAACACAGTCAGCCCAGAGGGCCAGAGGCAATAAGACAAGACACAGAGCAAGTGTGCTTCAGGCTTTACTGGGGTTACACAGGTCTGGGGCACCCCACACTGGGACCAGGGCCTGTATATCAGGCAAGACTAGACTTTTGGGCATTGCAGGGAACTCAAGGTCAATCGAGCTCCTCCAAGCAGAGAAGAGGAGTGTCTGGATTTAGAGCAGGAACAAGGAAAGGGAGGAGCAGGCTTACCAGGAAAATGTGGGGAGCTAAAGCTTAACAGGCTTGACTACATGAAGTGTTGAGTCGAAAAAAATGAAGGAGAAGGGAATAAAATGGAGGAGAAAGGATGAGAAAATGGTCCCAGTTTGGTGCAGAGACCAAGCTATGCCCTAGAACCCAAGCCAACAATGGCAGCTGTGAGTCTCCCCTTAATGTCTTGGCATTTTGTCCTATTTTGAGTTCCAACGGGCCATATTCCCAAACACAGGTGTAGGGAGGTAGCGGCTGGACTTCATGTAGGCAGAGATCTTCTTCAAGCCCTGAGAGTGGAAGGAGAAATAGGAGGTCAGGGCTGCTGCCCACTGGACTGAGCTGCCCTGACTCCTGGAGCAGCCTGTCCATGAGCTGCTTAGCCCCCCAGCTCTGGGAAGGGAATCTTTAGGCTCCTGTAATGAAGTGGAGATGGGACACTGTGCAAGGTTCATACCCAATGGACATTACAACACAGGCTCAAAATATCCACTCAACAATCCTCCAAGACTCATCTTTCTTCCCCACAGGAGGTCCTGTGCTCCCTGTCTGCACAGACTTGCTCTGCTTTCACTGGGAAGCTCTTTCTTGCCAGGTTCCCACACAGAGTAGAGACTAGCAGGACAAGGGGCAAAGACTGCCAGAGTCTGTAGGCAGAGAGCCCTGATTCCACCCACTGACTCAGCAAATTCTGACTGTAAGGGGACACCATGATAGGCGAAATTCAAGAAAAGGACAAGTAGATGGTTTTCATTCTCCCAAAGCAGAAAACACAAACTTTGAAACCTGACAGCTGAATGCACCTCACTGTGCCCCAACCTATTCATCTCCAACCCTGTTAGAATAGACCAGGATGATTGACATTCAGATACGCTGTGCACCAAGACAGAGTGACCAAATAAATTCTGAAAGACTCAAAGATCCAGGGATGTCTGTACCCAACAGGGCAGGCCTGGCTGACCTCAGGCTGCAACCTTCTGCTCTTTTCCACTCCATCCTACCCCAGGCCCAGAGTCAAGCCAGCCCTTGCACAATCTCCAAGGCCAGTCCACCTGGACCAGAAACAGAGCTGATGAGAACTTGCTGAGAAAGCATATTGCTTGATAAGGAGAGGGAAGGAGTTCAGGTTCAAGACTGAAAAACTGTAGCACTGATGTCGCCAACTCCCAGATCCCTAATAAAGTAGGTTTTATGAGTGTCAAACAAGTAGACTCTGGGTGACCCATGGCTAGCTGCAAAGTGAGGTCTTGGCTGGCCTCCCCAGCATCAAAGCGGTACCAGGTGCACCTCATAGTCTGATCTGCCTGCTCTTCTCTGCAACGTTCAGTCCCAGGGTGTGGAGACATCTTTGCACACCTCACTGAACCAGCAGTGTGCTCATATAAAGAATGCCAGAGAATATGAGTGGAAATGAGAACACAACCCATTGCAAAGCTGAAACACAAGAGCTATTAAAGAGTAGAGGGAGAAGGATGAAAGGAAAGCAACAGGGTACCCAACCACTGACAAATTCAGGATAAAATCCTTCCACAGAGGCACCCACAGGTCTACTCAGGCCAGCACCAACCATAGTCCTAGGATCTCAGTGCCTTCCCTGTTGAGGATCTGACTGAGCAAAGCCTCTCGTACACAGATTAGGCATGAACATTGTCTGCAGCTAGGTGTTTCACAGCAATCCACTTTGTCTCACACTCCTAATGCTAGCTGCACACACACTCCTGACATTTTCCCCTCCTCCACAAGGACCTAGACTTTTCCCTTTGGCACAAATCAGGGACAGCCACTGACTGCTACCCTTAGAAGCCCACAGGGAGCCCAGCACACCTGCACTGGTGCTGGGACCTTGGCAACTGACTCTGCTCTACAGTCTGAAGGTCCTTATCTGTCCAGTGGTATAGGTTGTGAAACTGCAAATATGACACTTTAGATGTAAGACACTGAGCATAGGTCGTTTCATAAAGCCAGTGTAAATAAATGCTCCAAGACTAGGAAAGCATCGTGGAAATGGGGAGAGAAAGAAGTGCCTTCAAGAGGAGGGAGGAGCAAGGGCATCACCTCAAAGCGGGACAAGAAGTCCTTCAGGTTTGGGAACGCATCCAGGCATTTGGGCTCAAACATACGTTGCAGGTCAAACAGGTCATAGGCCAGGAAATCCACAAAGGTGATCTGCAGAAGGTCAAGGATGAGCAGGCTGGAAATTCTGAACCTGGGATGAATGCCACCTTCTCCTTTCCATCTCCCTCCCCTTTACCTTGTCCCCTGCAAACCATGGCCTCTTCCCCAGGAACTGTGAGTAGAGCTTCATCTTCTCGGGGAGGTCCTGCAGGTACTCTAGCTTCTGTTTTTCCTGAGGCAGAAGATTAACTGTCACCATCCTCAGACACAAGAGGCTGATCTCACCAGAGCTGGACAGGACTCAGATGGCCAGGGGTGAACAGTCATCTTCCAGAGACTGGGCCTGGGTCAGGCTAGAGGCTTGCATTTCATACACTGCTGCTTTAGTATTTAGAATCCTGTTTGAGCTGATCCTACCTGTCACAGGTGTTCAGAAGATGAACACAACTAACAACACTGTCCTTGAATTTGCAACCACTGATGTTCAAACCAGTTTCTGTGAGTCTGAGCAACAAGTTTCTGAGTACCTGGAAGGTTGTGTACCCAGGTATCCAGTAAAACCAAAAAAGTAAAGTATTTCAAGATCTCAGGAGATGACACAAAGTTATCCCCAGAGGGAAAGGCCCACGAGCAGAACAGATATTTGAGTGGTGTGCATAGAGAGGAGGAGTGTTTGGTGTTGAAAGGAAGGAGCAAAGGTCATCTTGCTGACACTGAGCTGCCTGTTCAGAAAGCGTCCTAATTCTTGCTAATACCAAAGACCAGGCTCTGGGGAAATGGCTGGGTAGACAAATAAAGACCCGGGTGCAGTGTATTATTCCACCATCTTGCACCTCTTTCTTCATGGCTTGAGTGTGTATGCCAGAAGGTGTGGACGGTGAGGACAGAATTGTGTCAATGTTTAGGGTAGGAATGCTAGAATAATAATCTAGACTGGTGTGCATCAATTCACAGTGCTGATTTGACATGCTGGGAGGATAAGGGTCAATCTGTTGGCACAATAGGAAGTTTAGAGAAGCTGTACCAAAAAGGAGTTCATTTACCTAACAGAAAAGGTTTAGATACCAATACAAAAGTTTAACTCCTCTTACAACCCCTGCCTGGTCCATGAAGCCAGGAACTCACAAAGTCAGGGTTAAAGCAGAGCATGAAGAACTGCATGCGTGTGTCCATGACCTGGTTCTCCACAATGTCCACACGGATCTTCTCCTCTTCTGTCTGCCCACCTGCAGCCACACAGCACACACACCCTCAGCACCCACCCCAGACAAGCCCAGGGGACGCCCACTGCCCCACACCCTGCAGCCAGCCCCACTCACACAGGTCGTGCTTGCGGGCAATGTAGTGCAAGATGGCGTTGCTCTGCGTGATCTTGCGAGCCCCATCGATTAAGTAGGGCAGCTGCATGGACCACACGGAAGGTCAGGTGGGAGCCCAGGTCCCAGCAGCCCTTCCCTGCTTAGGACAGACATGGGACCTGCCACTCAGTGGGCCTGGCCATGGCGAGCACACATAAATACACTGCAGAATGAATGCAGAGCTGGGACCCAGAGCATCAGAGGAACACGGTGTAGACCACAGGAGTGAGTGCTAGAACTCTCAGCTGGGCAGGAGGGGAGGGAAGGAGGGAGGGAGGCCCACGCTTCCCCACGCCCCCTTCCCTGTACCTACATTGGGGAAGTCCAGGCCCAGTGTGAATTTCTCACTCAGCCACTGGCTTCTGTCATAGTCAGGAGCTGTGGTGGACAAGATGGAGTGAAAACAAAGATCCCCTGAGTCCAGCCCTTCTTCCCCAACATTCCTGGAGGGGTGGGGCAAGACCCCCCTCCCTGAGGTGCGGATGTGCACTCTATCTCACATTCCAAGATAGGGGAGCGAGTTGTGTAGGGGAGGTCATAAGGGCTATGGACCCTGCATGACTAAGGCTTTCAATTTGCTTTGGCAAAGCCCAATAGGAACCCAACCTAATTAGAAATACAGATGAGCCAGGAAGTCCACTACCCGTTTCCGGCATTGGAAGAGCAAACAGCACCCACGGGGTTTCAGGAAGGGGTGGCCCTAGGTCCAGCAGGAGGAGGCCTGCAGAGCTGAGTGGCAGGTGACCAGGCATGAGTGGGCAGAGGTCTGAACAGGAGGTGTCATTACCGTCCCCTATGGTGTATCTCTTCTCCTCATAGCTTGAGTCTGTGTATTCCAGAAGCAGGCGGATGGGATGAGTCATCTGGGAGAGAAGGCAGGGGACAGAGATCAGAGGGAGCAACCCCGATTGTGTGACTTCACCCTCTCCAGTGACCCCCTGGCCCATGCTTAACACCACTCCACATTGCAAGAAAGAGGGAAAAAGAGACAGAGACAGAGACACTCCCAGATGTGTCAGCTTCTGAGTGCTGAGAATTATAAGAGGATTCCAGCATGGCCTGAAGAGAATTCACTCCTAGAAAAGGCTCCTCCCTGCCTCTCCAGAAAGCCTCCGCCCAGTGCCCCTGTGCCCTCCAAGCAGACCCCTCGCTCACCCCGCGGAAACCCCAGTAACCCAGTGTCATAGGCATGGCGCTGGCACGGTGGAGCTCACAGATTGCCTTGGCGGGTCTCAGCTGCGATTTATCTAGTGGCCAGCTAGAGCTGACCCTGGTCAAGTACATGGCTCCGCCCCACTCCACCCCTCACAGGCACCAACCACCCTTGCCCCAGTTTCCCAGGCACTCCAGTGCTGAAGCCAGTGGGGCCGGGCCTGGCACCTTTGGACCTGCAGGAGGAAGACCCAAGGGTGCCTCTGTCCAGAAGTCCCTGGAGCCAGATCAAGGCACCTGGGCCGGGCTGCTTGCTAGCCCAGACAAGGGGTCTCCCGCCCGTACACTCTGCTGAGTCTGCTGGGAGCCATCCCTGCCCTTGCACCTGAAGCACATGGTGAAAGAGCAAACTGTTCTCCCTTCCTTTCCCTTCTGCATGGGATGGCCCCAGGCTGCAGAGACCCATTGTTGGAGGCCCAGGCTGCAGGTGTCTGGCTAAAGAACAACGTCCCCAACCTGAGAGTTTAAATCAGCACCTATCACTAGAAGAAAGGATTCTAGCCGATTTAAAAGAAACTACAAAGGATGACAGCTTCTTGTACAGGAACATGGTCAGTGAATTGGGAATTAGACCATTCAAGGGCAGACTCAAGAACACGTGCTCTCCATTTTCCTGTAGGGAATATGGGGCACCCAGCCCTTAGGTCATAGGCGCAAGGATTATGCAAACTAGTCACAGTATTTTGGTCCTGTTGCTGCATCTAAATCAAAGACCAGGCACAGAGAGCAGAGGGTGTGAGGGGTGCTCCCAGCACCCCATGACTGAAGCCAGCTCTCAGAAACTCTCAGGGACCAGCACAGTGACCCTAAGTTCACAGATGGGTTATAAGCTAGGGTATTCTGTGTTCCTAGGGGCAAGATGTCTATCCAGCTTCTAAGGGAAGATCGGATTCTACCCAGAGGGGACACTGGAGGACACCACATAGGAACACAGGGAGGGCAGGGCCAGACCATCAGCTGTCCAGGTCCCTGGATTCTAACCCTGACCCAGGTGCCTGATCTCCGTGGGCTCTTGGTAGGAGAGGGTGGCTCAAGTGGCCTTAAGCCACTCTGGGATCACCACACCTTCACAGAAACAAGTCCTACCAAAAATACTCCCAGCTTCCCTCCTTGAAGACAGAAGACTTTCAAAACCAAGAGGTGTGGGATAAATTGTCCTGGGGTTGAATTAGTCTTGTTTCAAGGATCTAGTGCAGTGCATACAATAGACAGTGGAACACGGATGACAGAACTGAGAAATGGAAGGAGTTTACAAGGCAAAGGACAAGATTGTGGTTCTGTAGGAAATAAATTTGGGAGATTAGCTAAGGCTTTGTTAATACAGGGTATGAACCCGGTGTGCCAATAACGGTTTGAATTCACCAGGCAAAGGTGTGGAGTGGGGGTGGACGACAGGCAGAGGTTACTCATGGCTGTTAAATCAAGGAAGTCACATGCCCGGCCTATCTCAGTGAAGACAGGGGTCAGAGTCTCTGGGGTTGTCAGAGTGCAATGCCTGCTACAAATGCTGCCTCTGCAGTCAGACCTGTCCACTCCTCCAACCCTGGTTCTTGGCTTGTCTCTAGGCTCAGGAAGCAACTCCATCCTTAAAGAGAATTCCAGTGTAGGTTTGCCCAGAACCAAACAATACCCCACAAACACACACACATACACACACGTCTGACCTTCTGAGTTTTTATAGTCCTCATTATGTCATAAACCCTTGTTAATCTAAGATTTATACATCTTGAGCTTGGCAATAGAAATTTCTGCATTTACCTGAAAAATCTAATTTTTTAAAATCTAATTATTCAGATTGATTAGAGAAATAATTTTGAAAGACATTAGTTAGAATGATAATTTGACCATAGAATAGAAATTGTACCATAGTGTTTCTCCATTGGGTCCCTTTGTCACTGAAAAACAGAAGCCAATAAGGCCTTGCAGAGTAGAGAGGAGAAGAGAAGCAGTGAGAAGACTGAGTCAGGAGTGCAGGGAACCTGCTGTGCCCAGGGCCCAGGGCCACAGGGCACTGACAAGTCGTTCCTCTGCATGTGGGCATTATATTCTCTTGATGCACCAATGGACCAGCTTCAAAATAGAGGTCTTAGGAGGAAGCAGCTGGACTTCATGTAGGCAGAGATGGTTTTCAGGACCTGTGAGTGGGAAGGAGGAAGCTAGAACTCAGGTCTGCTGCCCAGTGGACAGAGCTGCCCCGCTCCAGGAGCATCTTGTCTGTGGGGGTCAAGTGCCACGCAGAGCCTAGTCCACTTAGCTCCCAACGCTGGGAAGGGAGTTTTCATTTTCCTGTAATGAGACTGGAAACTTGCGATTCCTTTAGCCCCACTAGACATTGCTGGGGTGTTCCATATGTTCAATTCTTGAGTATAGTGTCTAGGATTAGGACTCTGTTTTGCTCTGTGCAGCAAAACAACCACAGAGTAGGAAGATACTAAAGAGTAATTTATTAGAAAAATCAGAATTACACCTTGCTGGGTGAGGTGGGCATCTCCGGTAAGGACTGAGTGCATGCAAGCTGGTGGAGGTTGGGATTTTATCCACTAGGGTAGGGTTCATAGGGAGCAGAAAATGAGGGCCTTGTGACCTTCCCCAGTGGTTTGACCCCTGCACAAAGGGCTGCCAGGGTGTGGGAAGGCATAGGCCTGCACGTTTCATCTTCTTTGCCATTCTTGGTCTAGGGCCTACTATGGATGGTCACATAGCAATCATTATACTCTCAAATGCCCAGTCTTAATATGAGGACTGGGCTCCATAAAAAGGGTATAAGGCCATTATCTTAGTTGTTGGCCTAGGATGTAGACCAATTGGTATTTTAGAATGGAATCTTGTAGTCTTATAGTTCCTCATTCCTGCTCCTACCAATCTAGTAGCAAACCCTACCAACATTATGATATAGGTTCAAAAAATCCACCCGACCATCCTGCAAGATCTGTCTTACTTTCACCACTTTGGAGGGAACCTGAGATCTATAGATTAGGAGACTCTCTCCTGTCCACACAGCTAGTGAGAGGGACAGGTCTGGAGTCCGCCTGGCTCTGGGTCTGCCATTCTGTGTTCTCTGTGTGTGTGAAGCAGGCTAGAGTTAGGGAAAGTTCAGAAGTTCGGGGCTCTTAGAAAATATGACTTCATGTTGTATTTCAGATTGAACATTCCTCTCTTTCTCTGAGCCTTCTTTTCAATTGCAAATGTGTAGGTTATTCACATCCTACCTCAGGAACAACTAGAACCACCCTCAGCTGGCCCAGGGACCACCCCTGCCCCTCCCCACTCATCGATTATTGCTTAGGAATTTCCAGGTTCTCACCATCCCATAGGTGAGCATAGATCTAAAACACCTGGAAGAGAAAAAAGACGCTCTCTGCTTGGCAGCTTCATTTGG